CGTCATATATCAGTTAAAGTGAGCAAGAAGAGATTTTGCTCTGTAAATCCAGTATTTTCAATGAACAGTCTCCTTAACAAATTATGATTATACTTTTAAGAAGGAGTCGCTTTATATCTCAATAATGTGCGTTAAAAATTGTTGATTTGTCCCCGTGACGTAAGAACAAAGCTGGTTTCGGATATTAACTTAGATATTGAAACTTCCATCACTGGGCTATATGCTAAAACGCTTGCCCGAAAAGAAATTTGCGTACATTAATAAGCGGTCCCAAAGCGGTACGGCCAGCAAGGTCCCACTGCAACGAATCTAGGTATTAGGCAGACGAGGATACTATTGCGTATAGTAAAAGTGCTTACTAACTTATCGACGTTTCAAGTTAAAATATCAAGTGTTATGAACAAGTAGAGCGTTATCCAGGCACTTTTTCGATGAGGTGTATCCAAAATTATGCAAGATGCACACAGAAAGAAGGTTCTTTCAAGCATAAGCCAGAGAGACCAATCAAAAGTCCTCTGGTTAATCAAATAGCAACCTATAGGCTGAAGAAAGGACCCAATTATGAAGATGATTTATACTATTATGGGGTTACAAATCGAAACGTATAAAGCAGTGAGAGCCTACAACTAATTGACTTCATTCGGATGATGAGGCAACCTAAATATACCATTCTTAATTATTTTATCACAGAAAGGTATTTTACAATTTAACATAAAACTGACTGAAAAATAAAGGGCCCTCGAAACCACCACCACATGTTAAGGACACTTCAGGAGGTCCGGCAGATAGAACATTGCGTTTACAATTCAAAAGGCCTCCAGGAACCGTGCATGACAATACTGAACTCCTCGGAGTAGACCTAGAAATCCGATGGCCTAAAAAATTCCGTATAGGCGAAATAGAGGCAGGTGGGCGGTAGCAACTGATAGTTAGCGCCATAACAGTAAGAAGCTATGCTGCCGAAATATGCACTCTTCTAAATCCTTCATCCACAAGCCATTTGGGACGCACAGAGTAACACCA